AGGTGTGTAGCGCCCTGGGTAGTGTCAGTCAAAAGGAGAGAACGCTACTCGATCATAGGTTCTAGGGTGCAGTTATCAAAAACGACGCTTGGGCAGCAAAGTCACTTAGCCCCAGGTGAGTCCTATGTTCCGAGAGCCTTGAAGGGCTTCGGAGTTTACGCGATAAGCCTAAATAAAACCTTAAGCCGTGAAACCTGCAACCCCATAAGCCCTGTACACCTGACGCACGTGACCCCTTAATCGTCAATAATTGTAAACCCTCCAGTCCAGAATCTGAAAAATCGAAATTTCCAATCCCTTCAAAAGGCTCTTCAACCCGGACCCGAATCCCTCTAAGCCTTATTGGTTTCTCTGGAGGAGACAGGACAGAAGAGTTCTGCTACTGGCTTCCTTGAGAAGCGCACAGAGGAGAAGAGCCTGGTCGGTTGTCGGCGAGCTTCGGACTTATGGGTTTGATGGTTTCAGGGGTGCAGGGCTTTCAGAATGGCCTACAAGTGTAGGGTTGGAGTCGCAGCAGTGTCTCGAACTTCTGGTCCAGGGTTGCAAACTTCCCAATCCACGCCATTGCACTCCGAGAAAGAGATTGCACCCTGCGCCTGACATCAAAGACTCCACATTCCCCAACGGCGCACACCCTAAACCCTGAACCCTAAACCCTAAACCCTAAAGCACTCCGTACCAGGCCGAGAAGCTGCGCGGTGATGGTGGCATTGTTCAGCATGTTCGTTGTCAGTGCCCACATCTCCGGTCACTTTGTCATCCTCCTCACCAGTCATCCGGTCATCAGCATTATCATAATAATGATCCTCATCGCCTTCGCTGTCTTCATCATCGTCATCATCACCATCACTATCATCATCACTATCATCACTGCCCTCATCACTACCATCATCACTACCATCGCCATCATCATCATCGTCATCCTCATCATCATAATCATCATCATCGCTGCCACCAGCATCATCATCGTCATACTCACCATCATCAGTTGAATCATCCTCATTGTCGTCGTCGTTTTTATCATCGCCATAACCATCATCCTCACCCTCATCATCCTCATGATCATCAGCATGTTGGTGTTATTGTTAGTTCTATGAGTACACTACTACTAGTATTATTGGTGTTGTGATTAATGTTCATTCTCATCACTTTCTTCTTCAGCATCAGCATGTTCTTCTTCTTACTTAGTATTGCTTCCTCCCTTTCAGCCTTCACAATCGTTGAATCATGATCATCCGTCTGGTCTACGTCTGTCCTAGCCCTCCTCCTGCTCCTCCTCCTCCTCCTCCTCCTTCTCCTCCGCCTCCTCGCCAGTAGCATTAGCACAGCCGCGTGACTGGATCAGGAGCTGCAACTCTCCAATGTGACCTATGCTGAAGTTCGTCGACATGAGGCGGGACGTTTCGCTGTCTTCTGGATGCATGATGACTCTTACTATTATTGCTGTTACCAGTATGATTACCATTTTTTGTTGTCATTAATGTTACTATGAGGAGTGTTCTCATTGGTATCAGTGTTATTGTTGTTACTATTGTTGTTCTTGTTATCACTGTTACTGCTATTGCCTATAGCAGGTGACATCGTCTGCTTCGTTGCCCCGCATGCTCCGCGACATGATACTTCGCATCCTGGCTTAGACTGCAAGCACAAATGTGCTCTCACTAATTCAGTAGTGACATCATGACTCTCATTGTGAGGTCCATGTTCGGCGATACTGTTGCTAGTACTCTTCTCAGTATTTGTTCGCTGACAATCTGGTCTTTAATGCTCAGGCACCAGAGACTGACGACAGCTCTGTGGGAATCAGTTGTTTGTTTTGTTCAGCCAGGTCGGGGGGATCTCTGCCAGCAAATGTGTCTTAACGACTACGGAGAAAAACTATGATATTTATGATTGAACATACTCATATCATGTGCAACAGTCCTAGTAGCATCAGATTTCAAACTTGCGCTGCCAGTAAGGATGGAAGTAGGAGCAATGACAGCGGCAAGAATCGAAGGACAAGGTAGCTAAAGGAAGAATAGCTTCCTGCAGGCATAGAACACCACCGAATGGAAGAGAAATATTTTTTTTGACACGCTTACTCCCTTCTGAAGAACATGACTGCAGTGTGCGATGGCAATGATCACTCAGCTGTTGTGCGGTGCCTTGGTGTCGCCGCTGCGCACATGTGCCAGGTGATTGCTGATAGGAGCTCGAAGGGACTTTAAGCCAAAAAGGCCTACCCCTGAGCCTTCTAAACCCTGAAGTCTACACCCTATCAAAAGCCCCATGCCCTGATGGGTAGGCATAATAACAAGGAATCCACTACTTCTTCTTCAAGGGTGGCTACGCGCAGCTCCGGCCGATTACGTTTTCGTTGGATTTGGGCATGGGCATTGGGTTTTCGAGTTTTTGTGGTGCAGGACTTAAGATTCTGCTCATGTCAGGGCTACATAACTGTCGAGAAAGTTGTTCAAGCTTCAAAGTTATCCGGTTTAGGGGTTTTTCAAGGCCTAATATATTACCAGCAAATTGACAACGAAGTTGGTAAGCTCGAAAACTGCCACGGGCTTTTTCTTACACTTCCCCCTGGTCCTGCCTTAGGAGCGGGATCATGGTCAACGTGAGTCAACGTGATGAACTACACAGTGCATCATTTTGTGACTGCAGCCGTAGTGATGAAAAAAATGTGGAAACCGGTAGATGCTGGTGCTTCGACTATGGCTGTTCAAGTCGTGGTTACCAGCAACTGCAGGGACTGACATGGCTTTCGCGTAGACCGCCCACCCCAAAACGCTAAACCTCGAACCCTAGCATGCGACACTCGAATTCTCTTTTACCGTTAGGGCTGCTGCAGCCCGGTTGCAAGTGGCCAAACTCCAGACTCAAGCTGAGCAGGGACATAGACTGTCATGAGTAGCAGTAGCTATTGAAACTAGTGACAGCGAGACCGAGACCCTAACACCCTAAAACCCTAAACCCGTCTAAACCCGAAACCCTGGACGGGACCCTAAACCCTAAGCCCTGCCAAGGGCTAGATGGGTTTTGTTCCTTGGGTCATCTTCCCGGTTTGCTCGAAGCCCCAAGCCCTACACCCCTGAAGCCTAAACACTGCACCCTAAGCCCGAAACCCTGAGCACTGAGCCCTAAAGTCCTAACCCTAAAACCTAAACCCCAAACCCTAACCGTAAACCTAAATCCTAAACCCTAACCCCTAAACCCAAACCCTAAAGTCCTATCCCTAAACCGCTAAACCCTAAACCCTAAACCTGAAGGAAGTTCTTTGGGATCACCACGTCGGACCCCGGGTGCAAAAGCGGTGGCGGTCGATCTGGGGGACTCTTCGGGTCTCTGGTTCGCTGTTCCCGGCTGCTTAGTGGCAACTTGGGATAAGGGTGTTTGGGTTTTGGGGGATTTGTTTTTTTGTTTTTTTGGGGTTTTTGGGGGTAAGGGTTTAGGTTTTTTTGGGGTTTTTGGGTTTTGAGGTTTGGTTTTTTTTGGGGTTTTGGGTTTTTGGGATAAGGGTTTTTGGGTTTAGGGTTTTTGGGTTTAGGGTTGAGGGGTTTTGGTTTTTGGGTTTAGGGTTTAGGGTTCAGGGTTTAGGAGGGGTCGCAAGACTTGCCAATAGTATAACTATGTCCTTAGGGTTCCTCATGTCATTAGAGTGTAGTATACCCCCTAGTTAAGCCCTATTCTATAAGAATCTGATTAGTAAGGCAGTCGTAAACTTTTAACTTTTAACATTATCTTGAAGAAGTGTTTATCCAGAAATCGGTCCTGGGGCTCTCTTCCCTAGGCTCGGCGTATGGTCTTTTGAATAGCGGTCTGTTAACAACTACTCGTTGCGGGCGCCTTTGCGCAGCTCAGGTTTTTGATGTGCGTGAGCTGCTGAGGATGGGCCGACTCAAGTCGCGCGATGGCCCGTGAAGGATCGAAAAGAGCGGGAATCATCGCTTCTATCGTTTGAGATTGCGGGTTCGGGGTTTGACCAGGTTTTTTGGGTGTAGGCCCTAGTGTAGGCTTTAAGTTTCAGCGATGTAGCAGCCACATGTGAACCCATCTCGCAGCACATTGCAGTTAAGGGTTGCATGTTTTGACGTCTATGGATGAAGTACACACGATCAAGTCTTGTCTGATCTGAGCCTGTGTAGTTTCCCTGCAGCATAAACTCTACACCCTAAACCCTAAGTCCCAAACCGTCAAATGGTCATTTGGGCACGATCCTCGAATCGAATGCTGCAAGAGTTCTGCGAAGTTTGGGGCCATGTCCTTGCATGCCCTTGCGGTCTGTGTTGGCATGTGATTTCTTGCTGTGATTCACCTCATGACTACTTGCGGCTGCCCGGGCATCTCCGACACGATGTCCGAAAGCAATGTTCTATGTGGTTACCACAAGGGTCCTAATAATTACCTATACTATTTCGGTGGCTTCTTATTAATATGTATACAGGACATACTGTTCCCCCAAACTGTATTCGAATTATTAAGGGCCCTATAGGACGACTGCAGGACGAGAAGCAAATCTCTCCGTAAGCATGCCGGCCCATCAACTCACTGCGCAAGTTTTCAAACCCAAGCAGGCTCAACAAGCTCACTGTGGTAGCCACAATCGTGGGTCTCACGTTGTTGGCAACAGAACAGAGAGCCAGAGTGATTTTCACGTAGCCAGTGACCTCAGCGACGGCGTCGATTCAAGACATGTACTGACGAGGGGCAAGCCTTGACTGATAAAATGTTCCAATATTAGCGTTTAACGTTAGGGTTTTACTGTCGCAGACGCCCAGGTGCAAAGATCAAGCATTGAAGTCAGGATACGACTCATCTATAACCTTTAAAAGTGATCGTTGAAAGAACCTTGAAGGGAACCGAAGCTTAGTCCTGAAGCCCAAGTAGTTCTCCATATTATTCCCTAGGCCACAGGAGCCCCTCTTGAAGGCATCCTTCAATGGAACACCAGTCTAGCCATCCCGAAACTTTAAACCCTAATCCCTCTATTAGGGCCCTTTCACGAGCTTGAGGCCTGATGCAGCCGACGGTTTGCTAAATGACCGCGATCTGACCCAGGCTTGTTGATATGAAGTTTATAGTTTTTGTGGCTTGTATGGGTAGCTCTGGGGTTTCCTACATTTCCGGGTTGCAGGGCTTATGCCTTGGAAGATCTGCCATAAAGTTACATGGGCTCTTCTGGCTTGAGTGGTGCTGTTCAGTTTTCTAGTTTGCTTTCACATGAACGTGGCACTGTGGGGTTGTGGGGTGACTCAGTACAATGCTGCAGCAGGTTCGTGCCTGTCATCTTCAATGCATGTCATTGTGATGTTTTTTGTTTTCCTCCTAGCCCTAGGCCCTAAAACCGCAGGCTCTACTGCGGGCAGACAATGTGCATTCCTCAGACTCTGTATCTCGGGGGTCGCGGCACTGAGCTCTGTGCATTTAGCCAAGACATCGGGAAAAGTGTGTTTCAGTATATGATACAGCATTTTGTAGTAGATTATAGTATATTAGAAGTGTCACGATGGTGCGCACTGGGAGCTGGCGATGCATCTGCCCAAGTGCAAAGGCCAAGTACACGACCGGAGCCTCCCAACTACCGATTGAAACCACTGAAGTTGACAACAAAATCCTGCTTCCATCCAGGATATAGGCAGCTAGTCCGGCATGTTTAAGGTTCTGATCCCCTGCACCTTGGAGTACCAAGAGGAGATGGTTCAAGCCAAGAGGCCTGGCACTGGGATCGGCACAAATCCGCCACTTGCGACGTGTGTAGCAATGGGTACAGGAAGCATAAGCAGTAGTGTTGGAGTTCGATCAGACGGTTTTGCAACATGTGCTGCTGCTTTTTTGCTATCTTTGGTATCAATACTAACATTATTGTATTATCATGCTTTTGTCTGGTGGTGGTGGTAGTGGTAGTAGTAGTAGTAGTAGTAGTAGTAGTAGTCGTAGTAGTAGTAGTAGTAGTAGGAGTAGGAGTAGGAGTAGGAGTAGGAGTAGGAGTAGGAGTTGTAGCAGTAGTAGCAGTAGTAGCAGTAGTAGTAGTAGTAGTAGTAGTAGTTGTTGTTGTTGTTGTTGTAGTTGTAGTTGTAGATGTAGTTGCAGTTGTAGTTGTAGTCGTAGTACTTGTTGTAGTAGTTACTTAGTATTACAATCATTATCATTTTCATTGTTCTTCATTGTATCATCGTAATAAGAATAGCTACTGTTGTCATTTCTCTTAGTACTGTTGGTAGTGTTTTTATTTTTATTATTGTCACCATCAGCATCGTGCCGCCGACGCCATCAAACCAAGTCGTCACAGCAGCGAACCCTACGACGACGAGTACCAGCGACCACTATCTACGTACAACCACCAGCGACTACTATTTCGCATGTGATAACATAAAAAAATTCTAAATATGACTGCTGCTGCTGCTGATGGTACTGTTCAGCACCAGCAACCAGCACCAGCACGACTACCAGCACCACCATCAACGACAACAACAACAACAGCAGCAGCAGCAGCAGCAGCAGCCGTAACAACAGCAATGCAAATACGAGTACACGAGAAAAAGCAATCAGATCACAATCCGCAGTCGCACCACCACCAACAACAACCAGAACAACACGACGAAGAACATAGCAACAACAACGCCAAAAGCAAAGATGTCACCGACCTATTGTTGCTCCCAATCGCGTTCCCACGGGCTCTCTGTGAAACTGCATTATGCTCATTGACTGGGCTATGTTCTCCTACCCAGTCTTGCTGACACTGGTGGCTTGGCTTGCGCTCAGGATCGTGGCTCAAATTCAGCGGCGCTCAGCTCAGGCAGGGCACAGTAGTTTTCGCAGTGGTACTTGTTGGAGGCTTGCGTGGCATTTCAGCTACTTGTGGGCTTTGAGCGGAAGGCCCAAAACAAACCCAAACATGTTAACGCCTCAGCCGTGCAACCTCGAACTGCCGGAAGATGAACTTCAACCAATCCCTGACCTAGTGGTCTCTCTCTCTGTGTGATGTTTTCTTGCTTTCGCTCTCTCCCCATGTCTGTCTGTCTGTCTGTCTGTCTGTCTGCACATATGTACATATGTATGTATGCATGCATGCATGTATGTGTGTGTGTGTATGTATGTATGTATGTATGTATGTATGTATGTATGTACGTATGTGTATGTAAATATTCTCTATATATACACATACATACACATACACGTGCGTGTATATATATATATATGTATATATATATATACACATATGTATATGTATATATACATATACACATACATGTGTGTGTGTTTTTATTCAAGACTATGCACATGCATTTAAATATTACCATATATCAGTATGCAGGTAGATGCAGGTCGGCAGGTAGGTAGATGGATAGGTGTACAGGTATGGATGGATGCAGACATAGTCCACAAGGGTTCACGTGATATGAATACTTTTCATACAGCCGATGCAGTAGAATCATACCTGCAGCAATCAGTGCATGCACGTGCGCCATCAGCTCCCCCTTATGCACAGACACAGGGGAGGTGTTGCACTGCCAGCTGCGAAGAACAAGGGTTGATAGCAGGCCCGAGATGGCTTGACCATTGAAGAATGCCTTGACAAGACGGGGCCACCATGGCCGTCAACAGTCACCCCTTAATCCGTAGCTGCTTTGAAGCTGCAAGGGACCCTTTATGAGCTTTGATCTTGAGCTGAAGCAGAGACTCCACGGCCATCAACCGCGCTCAGCCTATGCCTTGTCTCCTCCCCATGTTTGCAAGCCGGCAGGTCTGCGTCATTGCAGTTCTGCTGATGCCGAAGCCGGTGCTCCTGAATCGTGAGACCAACGAGGTTCTCGTCAGGCTCGGCCGGACTGATGAGAACTTGTCCCCATGTGTCCGCTTCAATCGTGGGACAGGCGCCACAGTGAGCTGCTTTCCACTGGTGTCGATGATGTCCTCTACTTTGAGCTGTTGAGAGATGTGGCAGTCGGGGCCTGTGAATTCCATCATGCATTGCTCTGGTTTCCTTTCATCTCTGCATCCCTTTGAGAAGGCTCGGGCTCTAAGGGGAGGCTCCAATTTGATGTGTGGATAGGAATCAACTCACTTCTGGGGAGTTGGTACTCCTTCGCTTCTCAGCAAGCTGAAGCAGTTTGGCACCTGCCGTTGCAGCGCTGAACATCTGGCAAAGTGGATTCTGTATGTAGACCTTGAGTGCGACAACTTCCAGATGCTCCACCTTGATTAACCCCAAAACCATCCTCAACCCTACACCCTGCAAGCCGTAAGCCCTAAACGCTATATAGGATGGTTTCTACCCTGTTGAACCTGATAGTTTTCCGATCCGAGGCACTAAAGCGTGCGATCAACCTTTCGCGGGCAATGTGGAAGACGAGCTCCTGACGAAGTTTGCTCTTAAAGGGGTACAAGGTTTAGGGGTTGTTGGTTTTGTGCTTAGGGCCCAGGGTTGTAGGGGTTTAGGGTCTTAGGGGTTTAGAGCTTTAGAGTCTGTGGGGTTTAGTGTTGACGGGTCTAGGGTCTAGGGGTTAGCTTTTTTTGGCTTTTTAGCTCCGTCATGGAAGTAGACACATCAGGTCACCCTTGGCTGCAGACGTGATGCCAGCATTTCTGAACAGTGAGAGCATCAGAAGCTGTCGTGCCTTTGCCCGGAGTGCAATCTAGCAAAAGCTGCAGACAGGCTAGATGGGAGACCCTTCTTTCCATGGCAGGAACATGCTTCGTGCGAAGCTGATGTTGAACGTTCTTGCCTCAGTGAAGAAGCTTGCAGCAGGAAGGTGCAGTCCAAGAACTTGAGCGAACCGCTTGCAGAAGTGTGGCGTGGAGGATTCTGCCTTTAGTGTCAGAGGTAGAGGTGGATTTTGACTCCGCAGAGGAAGCGGCCCAGGTGCAGGCCGGACGCGGCTGCCATCATGTTGCTCACTCGCTTATTCGCGTGAGCATGTGCGGTAGTGTGCGAAGTATGAGATCCAGGAGGTGTAGCGTTTGAAGTAGATAAGAAACAGATGATAGTAGGTAGAGGTCCCAAACAAAAAAAACAGTGAAGAGTACCCAATACATGATCAAGAAGAACCTTTCAAGCAGCTCATGACTGCAAATCGGGAACTGCGACGATGAAATGTAGGGCTGAAGGTTCTCGGCCCTGAGCTTGCAAGTCGTAGAAACTGGTTTAGGGTTTAGGGTCCAGGGTTTAGAGTTTAGGGTTTAGGGTACAGGGTTTAGAGTTTAGGGTTTAGGGTTCAGGCTTCTTGGAACCGCTTGATTCAACCCTTTCCCATGCTCATGTGTCCGCACGCTTCAGTGATCAGTGCAAATCAGAATTTGCAGCGGTTAATCTTGGTTACGTACGTACGTACGTACGTATGTATGTATGTATGTATGTATGTATGAACGTATGTACACCTATGTACATAGACATGCTCAGATTTGCGTTGTGCCCGTCTGAGCTTATTTCCGGTCAGTACGGAGAGGTGTGAAAGTAAGGCGATAAACTATGCACACATAGACTATTATGTATCTGTATATACATATATGTGTATATATAGTATGTATATGTACATACATACATACATACATACATACATACGTACATACATACATACATACATACATACGTACATACATATACATACATCTCTCTTTTTGTTTTCTCTCTCTCTCTCTCTTTCTGTGTCTCCTGCGCTAAGGCTCTAAACCTTAAGCCCTATATAGCTTCCGTTTTTATGCATCCCGACACGCTAAAAACCAACCCTAAACCCTAAAACCCCAAAACCCTAAACCCCTAAACCCTAAACCTTCAATCCTAAAGCCTAGGCCGTGCAAAAAACAAGCGGCAGGTCGAGCATTCGAGCCTACTCTGGGAGCAGATACCGAAGACTTTGATGCCCGAGTTCCGCTGGGAGCTTTGTGGTTTGACAGTTTAGGGGTTTAGGGGTTTTAGGGGTTTAGGTGTTTAGGGCTTAGCCTTTAGTGGTCAGGGTTTATGGCGAGGGTTTATCGCGTAATGTAGACCCCCGAGTAGTAAACACCCCTTTTTTTCAATGGCCCTGTTGTTAAAGTTAAAGGATTGTAGGATGTAGGGGATAGTGTTAGAGTGGGAGGGTTTAGGGCCTGAGGCTTAGGGGATACTTATCAGTTAGGACTCTGCCACTGCATCCTCCGATCAGTCCACTCTTCTGTGTATCTCGAAGTTACCTGGCGTTCTCGTGATGCACATGCGCGACGTGCCCCTGAAACCAAGAACAGATGCGCTTGCACGATTCGTACAAGAATAGCTGCTACCCGTATCCCGTGTCAGTATATACAGACAGTGCAGACGCAGTCTTGTCTCTAGTTACTGCAATTGCAGGTTGTTGCTTCTTTTGTGTCGGATTTGTCATCGGTAGTGCTGAAAAGGGGGTGGTGGTGGTGGGGGTGGCGGTGGCGGTGGCGGTGGCGGTGGTGGTGGTGGTGGTGGTGGCGGTGGTGGTGGTGGCGGTGGAGGTGGTGGTGCTGGTTGCCGCCGGCGCCTTCGTAGCAGTAGTGGTTGTGGTGGTGGCAGTATGAGGCAGCAGCAACAGCAGCAGAAGCATTCTGATTATTTGTAAAATTAGCAATGGTGGTGGCAGTGGCAGTGGTCGTGGTCGTGGTGGTGGTCGTCGTCGTCGTCGTAGTAGTAGTAGTAGCGGTAGTAGTGGTATTGTTAGGGTTAGTAGTCGTCGTCGTCGGAGTTTCAGTAGTCGTAGCGTGTAGTGGTCGTCGTGGTGATGGTGGTGGTGGTAATGTGGTAGTGGTAGTGGTAGTGGAGGCGTTCGGAGTAGTGGTAGCGGCAAGAGTAGTGCTGCAAGCACGCAGCAAACTTACGAAGGCAGCAGGAATGATAGGGGACGTGGTGGTCCTAGCACGGGCAGCAGTAGCTGCTTTCGATGATGTTGTGCATCTCACAAGCATCTTCACGGACATCGCAACCATAGTTCTTGGCATCCTGGAGCGAAGCAGCAGACCACCTCCAGGTCCCGTGAATGAGCAGATCTTGGAGACGACGAACATGGTGGGCCATTTCCGGCTGATCAGCAGGCAGATGCAGATGCAGACCTTGGAAGCCAACGGATGCAGGATTGTTCTTGGCAAAATTTCGTCATGTGAGAGAGTAGAATGGCGGAGCCAATCACAAGCAACCACATTTTTTAGGCTAAACAGGATGGGCAAGCTGTTCCACGTTGTTGTTTGCCTAGCTCCATTCCGCTTTACATCTACAGGCTCCACGTGAATATTGATCGCCTGCTTGGACAGTGACACTGTGCAACGCTACTGCTGCTCATCCCTGCAAATAAAGCAATTTCACCCTATAACTCATACACAGTGCCACGACAACCCTTGACTTGCTGAGGCTATTGTAGATGCCCGCGCCTTGACATGGCTGTACCTCTGCATGCATGTGGACCGCAATTGCATCCATTCGTGAGGCAAAGTTGCAGTATGTCTCCGAACGTGCTAATCCAGATCGCAACTCCTCAATCCCCAACCACACCCAGCAGACTTCCTTGCACTTGTGTAAACTCTGGACCGCAAGCCCGAAGCCATATTTTGGGGCAATATAGTGGCATGCGACGACGTGCGGCTGAATGCCATAGTCGTGTCCATCGTCCCGCCAAGAATGTGAAGCCGTAGACGGACAAGAAACCCCCACCTTACGTTGCCGAAGGCTTCCTTCCAGGAAGGGCATGGTGCTACAGGCCGGACAGTTTAGGTTTCTGAATCTCAGGCAGTCCCGATTGCAGGGCTTGACTGGTGAGTCAGGGCACCAGGGTTTTGGCTTCGAACATACCTCAAGGGTCTTTGGAGGTGTTGAGATTTCTGACTTTCGCTGGCAAGCAGCAGGTCCTCCTTGTCAGTGTCATTTGTTTTGCGGATAGGGTGTTGATTGGCTTGGGGATTTGAGGTGGTTTTGAAGCGGGACGCTTCCAGTAAAGACGCAATGATTTCAGAGATGTACAAGCAAATAAATGTCCAGAGACGGATAGGGCGCCCCTTTCCTTGTGAACTCCTTAAACTTATTGCTGAGATTTGCCGAGTCAGGTGAGACAGGAGCCAAAAACGGGTAGAATCTTCCCTGTTGCATTTTGCACTTGCGTTCCAGCCTGGCATTGCGAAACAGGGATTCCTCAGCATTCCTTGCTTCCGAGTGTCACGACAAGACAAGCTGGCATGCTTGCGCTCCGTCCAGAGGCCATGCCGGCTGGATTGGTGACCATACATCCTAAACCCTAAACCCTAATGCCTAAACCCTAAACCCTCAACCATACATCCTAAACTCTAAACCCTAAACCCTGAACTATACATCCTGAAGCCTGAACTCTAAACCCATGGTCTTGGGGTTGATAAGGTTGGACGTAGCGCTCACGTCGAGGCTGTGGACGCCGATCAGAAGGCCGTGGCCATCAAGATCTTCGAGAAGTCACAGGCGGCCGCGTGAAGAGGGACTAGTGGGTTGGGGTATAATTACGGGGGTTTAGGGTTTTGGGTTTCAGGATTTAGGGTTCAGGGTTTGGGGTTTAGGGTTTTAGGGTTTAGGGGTTTTGGGTTTTAGGGTTTAGGGTTTGGCGGAGACGAAGCTGCTGGGGACGGTCAGCCTGAGGAGTGCATACGAATGACAACAGCCGCGTTCTTTGGCAAGGTTTGAGACTAATCTGTTCAGGGGTGTCTGAAGCCGAAAGCAACGGTGGGAAATCCGGAAATGCGTCCCAAAATCCCCAAAAAAGCGCCAGACACAAGATCCTGGTCTGCTGGAGAGCATTTACCGGGAGATCCGGCTCACGGGCGAAGTTGTGAGGCGCAGGGGCTTAGCTTCGCCTTCGGTCTTTCTGCGCAAGGAAGTGTCTAGGATTGTGGTGTAAGATTACAGTAATGTTTGTTGGGTCCAGCTGGTGCGCCAGTCACTGGAGGGTTCTGGCAGCAATTGCTTCGTCGCCGTTGTCGTAAGGTCGTGCCGTAACACCGCGGCTGTATGTCTATCGCAGTAGCAGTCGTCGGAGCAGAGCGGCAGCTGCAGCTTCGGCATGGTGGTGGGGGTGGCATTTTTGGTGCCGGCGTCAGCATTTTGATTTTGTTTTGCTGGCTGCTACTTCTGATGATCATGCAGCACATTGTGTGTGATCAGGGTTTTGAACCCGATGATGCTGATGATGATGATGACGACGATGATGATGATGGTGGTCGTTGCTTGGCAACTGCATGGTTGCATCGATGTCAAGGAGATCTGGTCTACCTGCTTTCTGTAGGCATGCCGCTATTCCTGCCGGAGGCATCCTAACATCGCCAAGTGCCTGGACATGATTCACAGCCTTTCGAGAGTCTACCTCGTCATGGAGTTCGCCGGCGGTGCCACTGCCCGGGGTGATGGTTCTGCGATTTTCGTGTTGGGGTGCCCTGAACCCTAAACCCTGCAGCATGCCACGCCCTACCATGGACATCACAAACACTACCCCACCGATCATTTCCCAGAGCGCCCTCTTCCGAAACCGGACGGTAGGTCTTGGGTCCTTAAACCCTAAACCCTAAAATCTGAAGCCCTCAAGATGTGGGAATCGCTGAGCTTTTTGCATTCGGAGCAGAAAAACCCGGAAACCCCGGAAGCCTGGGCCCCATGGGGCCCCCCAAAAGCCTGAAAATCTCAACTCCAAAGCCCTGACTTAGGGTTTAGGGCTTAGGGCTTTAAGGGTTTAGGGCTTAGGGCTTAGGGCTTTAAGGGTTTAGGGCTTTAAGGGTCAATGCGCGAACCCCAAGTCCACTCCTGTGTTTAGGAGCTTGGTTCTCAGTTGCTCCGCCTCGGGGAAAGCTTCGGGAATTCCGGGTGCAGGACTTGAGATCTGCGGGTTTGAGTTGTTGGATCTACTGTTGATGATAAAAAAATCCTTACCATTACCTTACCCTTACCCTCAAAGGACTCATATTTTACGGCTTTTGGGCCCGAAGACCATATTAGGTAAGGCTTGGGCTATTTTGAGGCTAAGGGCCCTAAACCATGGGAATTAAGGGTATATATATATATAGAGAGAGAGAGAGAGAGAGACCTTATTATGGGGTAATGCAGGATTTGTATCATCCACCGTAGTATAGGCTTCAGGAGGCCGGTTTCGGGTCATGGGTTTCGCGCTCGGTTTCATTGCTTAAGGCTTTGTGTCAGGGGTTTAAGGTTTCGGGTTTAGGGTCTAGGGTTTTAAGGGTTTAAGGTTTCGGGTTTAAGTTTAGGGTTTGGGGTTTAGGATTTAAGGTTTCGGGTTTAGGCTTCAGGATCTGCCGTCAGCTGTTTTGAGGTGCCAGTGTGGGTATGGAGTATGAACATGCCAGACCCGGAGATGTCTGTGTCACGAGACCACTAAACCCTAATTTAATAGTATATAGTATTGTAGTGTATAGTATACAATGTATATACATGTAAACAGCATGCAATATGTATATATATATACACACACACATACACACACACACACACATGCATACAGTTTCAAAAAAAACTAAAACTCTTCACCATACGAACCATGCCTCACCTCGTGTCCCCTCTTGTAGAGCACCTCGCTTTGCGATTGCTGCTGCCGCCCTGTGAAGGTGCAAACATCGAGCACATCATCAGCTGCACCTCGGCTCTCGCATGATCAGTGTAATAGAGGGCTTGCATGGTAATGGCACTCTGGTGGTAATAACAATACTAGCAGGCATAGTAATAACAACAGTTCTACTGTTGATGGTATAAATCCTGCATTACCTTAAGGACCCCAAGCTATGGGAATTATGGTACATTCCTTGCCACGGGTAATGCAGGGTTTGTATCATCAACCCTAATAGCCCTAATAACGATAGTCATAGTATGTAGTTTCGGTCACTCAGGCTCCGCCCCGTGGGTTGCAAGCCCATGAAGAAGCGAGTCCGGCTTCAGGGGCAGCCTACATGGCAGCATTAGTCTAGGGTGGAGGGTTTAGGGTCCCTAAATCTAATCCCCTAACCCCCCAAAACTATAGTCCTAAACCTCCACCCCTAAACCTGAAACCCCGCTACACGCCACCTTCCGTTTGAAGACGCGGCAGAGGTCGCCAGGAGCAGCGGATGAATGAGTCTGAGGTGAACAACTGTGACCCGGACTGCACAGGCTTTAGGGTCGTTTAGGGTGTAGTGTTTATAGGTTTGAGTACTAGGAGGAGTACTAGGAGGAGGAGGAGAAGTCTTGGTAGCAGTAGCAGTAGTTGTGGTAGTCGTCGTCGTGGTGGTGGTCGTGGTGCCGATGTAGACTTGCATGATTTGCCCCATGGGCGGTATCTCGCATGTCCGCGTGTGTTCATGTGTGTATGCGCCTGCAGAGACGTAGTACTTATGATTAACGTGCTTGTTTGGGTGCTTGCATAGGCAGCGTTTCACTTGCTGCTTTTGAAGATGTGAATGCAGAAGCATGTGCATGCCTTCATCCACCAGTCTGGCATTTATCTGTCTAGTTCTATCTGCAGTCCTCCATCCTTATCTTGCTTGACCGATCCCTCTCCCAGCCTCTTGTTTCGCTCCAATTCCCCTCGAGCGAGTAAGGTATGTGTATCTATAATTAATCTATGTATGCCTCAGAAGCCTCTGGCCGTTGACCCCAAAGAGCTCCCTCAGCCAAAACAAGCCCCAAACACTATCTTAGCGGCTGAGTGGGTAACCTTTAACCTTTTGGGGCTTGTATAAACCTATTATAATTCAAAAGGTTAACCTTTTTTGGGCTAAGGTACTCGGCCCCTAAGCTATAAGACATCGCGGAAAACATCCTCGAGCCCCAATGCCCCAGGCTTTGAGCAGGTCGTGCGTGGCGTGGCGCATCTCCATTCCAAGGCCGGCTGACGTACTTACTTGGACCCCGACAGTATAGGTAGAACAATCGTAATGTTTAGGCGTTTGGCCAATGGTTTTGCCTACCTTTTGGAAATTTTGAGTATAGGCATTAAATTCTATATACACTCACCAAATTTAGGGTTTAGGATGCAGGGCTTAAAGCCATGTGCTCCCGAAATGTAGGGGTTAGCGTTTACTCATCCTACACTCCCCAAAAAAACTACGGTACATTACTAGTACCCTACACTCAAGTACCTAACAATTGGGTACTTTGGATCCCTAGGGGCTTGTCGGTTTGTGCAGATCTTCCATGCATGGTGGATGAGGACGTCAATTTTTCTATGTCCACATCCCTGGCTTGGGGAAGTTAACCGCATGAGCAGTTCAGGCCTTGCAGATGTAATTCGAGGAAAATCTGAATACCAGTTGCACTGGTAGCATTTGTGCAAGCCGTCTATCTCTGAAGCTGGAGAAGCGACGGTAGATAGAGAGATGAGAGTCTGCAGCGCAGATTCCCCTGTAAGTTTATTGCACTTTACCTAATCGCATTGCTACTCTTACCAACTTATAGCCCGCACAACCTGTAGCTGTTCTTGTTTCCATGGTCATTCATCATTGTTGTGGCTATGGAGACTACCTGTTCACTGTTCTGAAGCGCTAGCCTCACAAGGGGTTTAGGGTTCAGGGTTTTGGGGTTCAGGAATTTAGGGGTTTGGGGTTTAGGGCTTTAGGGCAGGAGCCCGGATGCATTGAAACGAGGTTGCAATAAGGCACCCCATCGGGATTTTATCTAGGCCCGTAAATGACCAACCCTGAGCATGTGCCTTTGTGATAAACTTTATGGTATCCCCTCGCCCCATAGATCCCATGAGTAGCCTAAGCCCCAGACCTTAAACAGGCCAAGACTATAAACAAACTATCGCAAACGCCGAATTAAAGAGGCCCTCGCAGAATTGTGACGACCCGAAACCCTGAACCCCAAAACCTCAAGCTCCAAACCCTGAATCCAAAACCTACATGACGCGGCCCCCGTCTCCCAAAACCTACACCCTAAACCCTAAACCCTATAAACCCTATAAACCCTAAACCCTAAACCCTATAAACCCTAAACCCTAAACCTGTCTCCCAGAATATCGCACATCGCAACATCTGCCTCCGTCATCTCGTGGTCTCCACCTTGGCGGGCAGCGACAGGCTGTCGGGAATCCATAGATTTCTTCATGAGCTCCTTTGGAGGTCGGGAATTCATAGATTTCTTCATGAGTTCCTTTAAAGGGTTCAGGGTTCCAAGTATACAAATAGTACCTACTTTGGGGTCTAAAGTCTGTAAATAGTACCTACTTTGGGCTGTTTGGAGCCCCAGGGGAAGGTTCAGGGTTCCGGGGATCGCTTTAAGGATTACTGTTTAAGGTCTTAGGGTTGAGGGTTCTGCGTATTCCTCTAAGGATTCCTCTAAAGGGGCTCAGGGGGTTTTTAGGGGTGCAGAGGAGTCCTTTAAGGGTACCTTCAATGGATCTTCTTTTGTTTATGGGTCCTCTTTGAGGGTACCTCAACCCTATGGGCCTCACTGGAGCCGGTGGAGCCGCAAGTCTCCGTTCGCAAGACCGTCTATACATCCTAAACTAAGAACACCTTAGTAAGCTCCTATGGGTAGTTCTCTAAATTAGGGTCCCTTTTTAGGGCCCTTGTTAGAAGGGTGCCATACTATATTGGGGACCTAAACAGGGACCCTGGTTTAGATAACTATCCATATCCTAAAGCTGAATTCCAAGCTTCGACTCGAACCCCGCCGGTGCGGGTCGGACCAGCTTTGACCCCGCGCCAGGGAGCACGTGCGGATTGTGGATTTCCAGCGCCGGCCTCGGCATTACATATCACTACATGAGATTTGAGGGCAAGGATGAGGGTAGTTTTCGAAATTAGGTTCCTTTATTCAGGTTTTCAAGAAAGTACGGCACCCTCAAAACAAAAAAAGGCAGAGGGGAGCCTAATTTAGAGAACTGCCCATGCAGGGATGTAAAGGTTTTCGGGTTTTCGAGTGGTTTAGGATTCATTGTCCTTCGGGCCATGGGGCGCAGGAATTCGGGCTCCCAGTACAGGAAATTATGAACGTCTTTGCGGGCAGTCCCTGTCTTCCTAAGAGACCCACACCATCCCACATCTTTACTTTCACCTGGTCGACTTGCCTTTATGAAGTTAAGTTGCATCCTTCGTGAGCTATTTCGGAATCGGTGGCAAAGCGCTATATACAGCATGCCTAAACCCTTCCTGAACATTTACCTGGCAACAGGGGTTCCAAAAAAACGCCTAAGTGTGTTATAGCCGCGTCGCCGCTGTAAACTCCTCCTTGAACGTTCGGGTCCGTCGGTCCAGGGGTTCATGTGCCACTTGTCTGCCTTTCACTAGACTGAAATTTCCTGTATATCTGGGCTGCCTAATTGTAGTCATACAAAGATCTACCCCACAAGAAAATCATGAAGGTGCCCATGTTAGTGTCGTGGTCACCCACCGCAGTGGGGCTGGAGGCATGCCATGCTGGTACGACCCGACATGACCTCCCGGACGGCAGCGCCTGGCATGTTTGCAGACATGAGAGGAAACATGGGTTAAGGGTTTAGGCAGAATGGAGCACACTACGAACAAGATTTTGGGATCCCTCATTAATCCCTGCCGCGAATATTAAACCCCCCATCTCGGAATGTGTTTTGATGACTAGGTGATGTTTTTATCTCTGCTGTCACTTTTGAGGGATCTTGATGTTGCACTTGCTATTGCTTCTGCTCTTCCTCCTGCTGTTGCTCTTACTCTTGCTCGTGCTCTTGCTCTTGCTCCGGACCCCCTAATGCAAATTAGGTTTTTCACGGCAGGGGTGAGTTCTGGAGGATTGTTCCCAAAGTGCTTGTATTATTAGGGGGTGTTTAATAAACGGGGGAAGGGATTAAAAGGGCGCCTAGATTCAGCAAGGTCCCCTATTTTGAAGCCTCACATATTACCTGCATCGACAAACCTGAATGCCGACGAGGGCCTATTTTCTGGCAGGAAACATTCCTGCAGTCACAATTGTAGTTCCTGTCTTGGTTATCGAGTTTTAATTTTTTTTTATGGTTAGGATCCTAGAATATACAGTCGGTGACCAACAAAGGAACTACACCAGAGATGGTAGGAATCTGTATGTACCTACAGTCTCCATTGTAGTTCCTTTTTTTTGGTCTAGCCAATTTTATACTAAGGAACCCAAAAGGTAACCCAAAAAAGGAACTACAATGGAGACTATAGGTAGAGTCCCCTAAACCCTAAACCAGAGTCTAACGGCTTCCCATGCGAGATCGTGGGCTCCATGCCCTACATGGCGCCGGAGATGGCGGCGGGAGGCTGGGCGGGTTTAGGTTTAGGGTTTTAGGGTTTAGGGTTTAGGTTTTGGGGTTTAGGCTTCGCAGTCCATGCGGCTTCCTGGTCAGGGTGGCGTAGGACTCATTCGGAGATCTGTCGCTGATGCAATTGGAGGGGGCACTCAGCTGGAGAAGGTGGATGTGCGAAGTACCCAGTCTAGCACTTCGAACAACAAGAGCTTTTTAAGCCCCCCTCTCCTGCAATCTAGATGCTCTTTCCCTTGAATCCCATACTTGGCAGGTCCCTACTGGCCGCACTCCGCGGATGCTTGGAGCTGTGGCGTGGCAGATGCCCTACCAAAGCTGTGGTCGCATCTTCTCACGTAGTCCAAGACGTGGGAGTGTAGTTGCTGCTGCAGATCACTTGCTCATCAGTGCTCGGAGGACTCCTCTCTCTCTCTCTCTCTCTCTCTCTCTCTCTCTTGTTCTCTCTCCTCTCTGACTCTCACACACAGACAGACACACACACACACACTCAGCAAGTCCCAGCAAAGATAAAATCCACACGCAGAGAGCGAAAGATATGCAGCGGGACACAGCAATAGAGCACAGTCCTTCAACAGACTACGAACATGTATGTTTTCTCGTACAGGCAAGGAACCCTATCCGGCTCTAGCCTAAACCCTAAACTCCTAAACCATAATCTCTAAGCCCAAAACAGCCAGATCCCACAAATTAGCCCAAACCCGAAACCCTAAGCCCTAAAACCCTAAACCCTAAACCCTACAGCTCTGGCGCAGTCCCTGCTGGAGATGGCTGGCGGCCTCTCGTCGTTGGCCACGGCGGTGAAGTTCGACCCAGAGGCTCACGGTTTAGGGTTTAGGGCTCAGGGTTCAGGGTTTTGGGTTTTAGGGTTTCACGGTTTAGGGTTAGGGTTCAGGGGGGACTTTATAAGGCTGACTTTAGGGGTGATATCCTGAGCCGGGCTAGATAAACCCCAAGGATAAGAACGGGACGAGATTGAATTGAGGCTTTGGAGACATAAGAGTTTGGTTTGTTAGGGCTTTGGGCTTCAAACGGGGTGGTTGAATTGCAGGCTTTCGGGGTTTTTTAGGGACGTGCGGTTTAGAAATGTAGGGTCTGGGTCGTGGCCTGTGACGTGACCCGAAGCCCGAAACTCTGAACCCTAAACCCTACGCCCGAACCCAAAACCCGAAACCCTAAACCCCTAAACCCTGAACCCTAAACCCGAAACCCTAAAGCCGAAGAGGCTTAGGGTTGAGGGGCTTGGGAGCCTCTCAATTTGTGAGGGTAGGACGATATTTCAAGTTCCCCCCCCAAACCCTACTCTAAATGGTTCAGGCTTTAGGGTTTGGGGTTTAGGGCTTTAGGGGTTTCGGGTTTGGGGTTTAGGCTGTGAGTTTCCCCTAAAAGAGACACAGAAGTATAGGGCCCTTGAGGTAAACCCAGCACCTGCCGCCCAGGGGCTGCCGACGTCGCGTAGCCCTGGGGTTTCGAAAGGGTTTAGGGTTTAGGGTTTAGGGTTTTCTCTCGCACCAAAGCCCCCTGAACCCCTAAACCCCCTAAATAAACCCTAGGCACCCCAACAGCCTAAACCCTGAACCTCTAAACCCTAAACCACAACCCCCTGAATCCTAATGCAGAAACTCTAAAACCCCCAAAACCCCCCCGCGAAAACCCTAAAACCCCCAAGAGAAGAACTCTAGACCCCGAGCCTCAGCAAACACCCTCGGTCAAGGCGCCCCCTTCGACCATCGCACCACTGCTTATGCAGTTCTTCGAAGATCCTGGCGCCTGAGTGCATATTCTTTAAGATCCATGGGGGGCTCTTAGGTCTCAAAAAGTAAGGTTTTGGGGTACATGTTCAGGCTTCTTGGGCTGAGGGTGCGAAGTAGGGCTTGGAGGCTGAAGGTCCGTTTTCGACCAATTTCAGGGTTTAGGGTCCCTGGGGTTCCAGGGTTTGTCTGGACACAGGTTTGATGCTGGCCTCACAGTACCTTCATCCTTACATTGCACTTTGGGAGTTTAGGGGCTTCCCTTAAGGAAACCCGATGAAGCATAATTGTGTAACCCCGGCACAGTCGCACAATGTTGGGAGTAGTTTCGAAGCTTCCTGCAGTTCTGGGGCACGCGGGCAGGACTCCCAAGCAGGTATCAACTCAGTCTAGAGACATGTGAAGGGAGCTGCTGCTTGAAACTACCTGTCCCTTTTTCTATTTAGCAATTTAGCTATCTGGCTCTCCGCGCTATCTATCTGTTTTGCTGCCCATCGATATATCTACGTTTCTGTCTATCTGCTTATAGATCTACCCATCTATACCTATCTACCTATCTATGTACCTACCTATGTATGTAAGTGTCTACCTAACCAGCTATCCACCTATGTCTGCAACTCTCGGTCGATCTGCATACCTACCTATCTACCTCTACCTATCTACCTGTCTATCTATCTATCTGTCTATCTACCTGAGGCAAGTTTTGTTGCTCGCACCGCCCTCAGAAGTAGGAGTCTATCTACCTATCTATCCATCGATCTATCGATCGGTCGATCTATCTATCTATATCTATCTACCTGTCGATCTCCCTACACACAGTTAGTCAGGTGGTTGGTTACTTACTTGCTTGCTTGCTTGCTTGCTTGCTTTCTTGCTTTCTTGCTTCTTGCTTGGGTGGCTGGAGTCAGTTAGCAGGATTGTTAGCTAGCTAATCAGTTAGTTAGATAGATAGATAGATAGATAGTTCGATACCTAGTCAGTTAGTAGTTAGTCAGCTGGGTAGTTGGCTACTTATTTAGATCGTTGGTTAGTTGTTTAGTTGGTTAGTTGGTTAGATGGCTAGTTGCTTGGTTAGTCAGATAGTTAGTTGGCTAGCTAGCGAGTTAGTAGCTACGTATCCAGTTATGTAGCTTGGCTACCAGTAGTCAGCTAGCCAGCTAGTTGATCGCTAGGTCAGCTGACAGTTGGTGATGTTTTCCGTGCTTTCATGTGTACTTGTCAGTCCATTGTTTGTCAAAGGTTATCGTACAGTGGTCGTATGCTTATACATGCATTTACGTTTTTTTTCTAGGACATTTTCAGGTGGGCAGTTACCATTATAGGAGCCTTGTAGAAGGTCTATATACCTTATAGAAGCCTTATAGAAGCTCTATATACCCTAAACTCCCCACCTCTAGTTTCCATTGCTGTATGTATGTACATAGTCATAGTCATAAGAAGTACAGGAGACGCTGGTTAAATTAAGCTGGTGAAACTGAGCCCCAAGACCCATCTTGACCAGTCAGCCACGCTGATGCCCTGGCTGCCATCTCTGGTGTTGGGGACCGAGACGCCCTTCCGATCCTACAGTGAAAGAGTCGGCGGAAATGGGTTTGCGGATTTAGGTTTTGGGATGGCTTCCGCAGGTTGATCTGTGCCTGAGTGAGGCCATGATGCTTACTTGAGTGTACTTCTCGTTGCCTCTAGCAGCCGTCCCGTTGCTACGTGCTCCACAGTGTAAACCCTCGGAATGGGCACCCTGCGCTGAGAGCTCGTGAGGTAGACACGATCAGTGTCCTGGAGCAGCTAGAGCAGCTCCTTCTGCCGAACCGGACGGACAGGCAGACATGCGCAGGGATGCCCTGTCTCTTCTCAGACGGCTGGTCCAATATTGCAGCAGCCGCTGTAAGGCTTTCAAGTTTATTCATAGAACAAACTGGCAAGTAAAACTGTGCCAGGTTCATCTCTGCCCGTCTTGAACTTCACAAAGCTCCAGAAGCTGTTGGGGGCTTTCCCTCGGTTAGCCCTAAACCCTACACCTTAAACCCTAAAGCCTAAACCCTAAACCTTAGTCCCTGATGCAGCGTTGCGAGTGTTGGGATGTGGTCTAGCCTGAAACCCCACAACTCACAACCCTGCGCCCCCGAGGCTTCCAAAACTGCAGGCGTGAACCTCAAAAGCTCACCCCCAAACCCCGGACCCCCAAACTTCATCACCCCCAAACTATAAACCCGAAACTCCCAACTCTAAGCGGTTTTTTATCCTTTGAACTCTAAACCCTCAGCCCCAAACTCTACACACCCTTACAGCCTAAACAGGGTCCTGCTCAAGAACCTGCTGCCAGAGAATGCCCCCGGAGCCGAAGTGGAGCTCCTGCATATGGCCTTCTTCTCAGTCTTGGGGTTGAGGGTTTAGGGGTTCAGCGGTTTAAGGGTTTAGGGCTTTGGGGTTTGGGGTTTAGGGTTTCATATGGATTTCAACACAGGTGAGGGTTTGGGGGTGTCATCTGGCTTTCAATTCAGTTTAGGGTTTCGGGTTTCGGAGGGCTTGTAACTCAGTTTAAGAGGCGGGGTTTAAATCTTCTGTGTTTGTGAAGCATCTTCTTATGGCTGCCGGTTCAGCTCCGGGCTTCTGGCTTTGGGTTGCAGGGTCTAGGCTTTAGGATTTTTGTTTCAGGGTTTCGGGTGTTTCAGGTTTTGGGGGGTTTAGGGCTTAGGGTTAAGGGTGGAGGGCTGTAGGGTTTGGATCAATGGTATCTGAGAGCCCAGACTAAAGGTTTAGGGTTTAGGGTAAAGGATGTGAGCAGGCTATCGGAAATTGTTGGCGATGTCCCCACTTCGAGGACGCATTAGACTTATATTTTTTCTCTAAACATGTGCAGCCTATGTGTGGTTCGCCGTTTCTTGTGTTTTTGTGTTTTTTCTAGTTACTTCTTCATCTGCCCTGGCTTTGTCTACATGTTATATGTCTACGCGTAGTAGCAAACATCTCAGATCAGCACGTCATGAGACTTTAGCCAGAGCTGCCAAATTCCTAACACTATGAAGTTTCCACAGTGCTTTTCAGGGAAAGATTGACCAGGAAGACTTCTATTGAAATAAACACGTCAAGGGGTCTATACTGTAATCCTTGTTGATCAGAGACCGTTCTCACATCTGCTGCAATTGAAATTCGCTTCGGCAGAAGACTCCTGGACAGGGCATCTAGTAGCATGTTCAGAGTCGGCCCTAAACCCTAAACCCTAAACCCCTAAACCCCTAAACCCTAAACCCTAAACCCCTAAACCCCTAAACCCTAAGCCCTAAAGCAGGTACATCGGGCATCTGCTCAAGATCCTGCCTAGCTTCTTCTAACTGCAACAACTAGGCTGTGACATTGTGCTTCCAAGATAGAAATGTGACGACATACAGCCAGATGAAGGGTTCAGCCCGCGCCACTTCTGTTGCATATATGGGACTTTCCGAAATTAGGGTACCTTATTTTGGGGTCCTTATAACAAGGATCCTACTATTTAGGGTACTATGTTCGAAACCCCCCATATCCCATCAGCGTACTGTGATGGCAGGGGAG